TTCCTTAAACAGCAGCACAAAGCAGAGAGGAGACAGTGAGTAACCTCTTCAGTCTCTTCTGAAAGTAAAAAACAAACAAACTCATCCATCAATAAACTCTTGACATTAAAAGTATCTTTTATCTCTAAGAGGTCATTAAAGAGTTTATTGATAGATAAGTTTATATTTACAGTAAGCTCAAATGGACTTTAATCTTTCACATGTTTCTGCACAAAGACATGCTGATGATCACACTTAAACTATGGATATTGACAAATATTCAATCATTATAGGCATTAGTACCATTTATAGTGGGCTTTCTGTTTCATCATTTGTTTATCAGCAACATATTTTACATTTTATTTAACCTCAAGTGACAACATCATTCTGTCTGATGTTTTGATTATAATTTAAGAAAATAAAATTGTTGGACGCAAACTATAAATAAATTATTGATTTGCAGAAGGCTAGAGGAGATGGAACGGTTCCAGGGAAGATGAGTGAACATATATACGAGAATGACAAACATGAAAATGTGTATGAGAATGTAAAACTTGAAGATTCAAGAAGGCCAAGGGCTCCTACTCCTCCTCAGGTGAGCAGTCCAGTCCAGTTCATCCCATTGTAGAGCATCATATGTGTGTTTTGGCTGCATCACAAAATAAGTGCTATTTATTCTTTTCTGTGACTTTGCGGTAAGACAGTAAGGAAGTCGTTTGGTTGGTTTAATTTATTATATGCTTGTGTATCGTCTCCGTTCAGGTATCAAACCCTCCTCCTGTGCGCGGGTGAGGAAGTGAAGACACTGAAAAGCATCTACTGCAAGATGATCTATCAGGCTGTATAATACTTTTTCTGTTCTTTTTTTTTTTTTTTTACAATTTAAAGATAAAACATTTGTATATGCCATATTACTGAAATATTATAAACTGTTGCATCAACTGAGAACTGTTTGTTCTATGTGCTCCACTAATGCCTTTTAATTATAAACTTGTGTTTCACAATGGACAAAGGTATTTTTTCCTTACTTAGTTCCTTTCAAAGTCACAAATACAGAAGTATATTTCTGTAACAGTAAAAGATTAGGGTCAAAGCCATTACCGTATACACTGAGTTATAAAAGCGAAATGTCTGTTAATGACGTGAAAACATGACATACAAGTACTAATAACATAGAATCATATCTGCAGATTGTAATGATCATTTGCAGGCTCACATGGAATCTGCACACACAGAACTCAGTAGAAAGCAGATTGAACACCAGTTCTTTAAGTCCTACACATTTCACATCCTGTCTGTGCTCATTTATTCAATATTTTGGCTAGTGTTTTTAAATTTAAATATTATATTTATATTTATTTATAATGCATAAATTACTCAGGTGTAGCTACACTGTAAAAAATGTATTGTCAAATGAACAGTAACTTACTGGCAACAATTATCCAGTAGT